GGGGGGGGGAGAGGCACCCCCCTGGCCTGACCTGGTCTACTGGGAAGAAGGCTTCAAAGACCCTTGACTGCTTCCAAGGGGGCAAAGGAGGCGGGGAAGAAGGAAGGGGAGACCTGAGAAGAAGGGGGAGGGAGGGTCTGGGTCGGGGTCTTTCTCCCCCTGGGGGGCGGGGAAATTGGAAGACAGGTAGACTTCAACTCCCAGAATTCCCCCAGCCGGCAGAGTCTACCTACCTTTCCAGTTCCCCCAAGTCGAGCTATAAGGTACGGTAGTCCTCAACTTACAACAGTTTGTTTAGTGGGACCGTTCGAAGTGACCCCACGATGGGTAAAAGTGACTTATGGCCGTTTGTCCCACTTAACGACCGGCCCCGCGAATATCTATATACATTGTTAGTGATTGGGGACAAACCCCCAAGCAGAGTGTGCAGCAGCAGTCAAGCCAGGCAGCCAAAATGAGAGAGGCTGGGCCCAAGAGTATACACACACTGGAGACAAAAACACTGTTTGTAGTTTTAAATAGTTGTTTAATCCATTCAGAGTTTAAGCATTGTCAATCAGTCCATATGTCATTCACAAATATATCCATCCAGTAACTTAGTCCATTAACTAGTTAGTACTATGTCCTTATCTGCTTGTAAATCTTCTCCTCCTGATACCTTTCTCTCGAAGACAACGCTGAGTATACACAGGATATCAGCTCACCAAGGAAATAGTCCTTTTGTTTAGCAGAAACGGTATCCAGCACAGTAGCCAGCAAACAGTAACAAGCAGATGACTCAAACAGGAGTAAGCAGCAGGCAGAGCAGAGAGCAGACAGACCAGCGAACCAGAAGGCTGTTACGTTTCTCTTACTGCCTTTTATTGCTGCTTGCAACCGCACCCTTAATTAGCTAATGACATTGCAGTTTGGTGCTTAAAGCTACAAACACTTAAACCTTGGTTTATATATTTATCCACCCAAACTTAGTTGGTGTATCCATATACCCAACATACATATATTGGCGGGGCAAAAGCTCTGGTAGTTTAGTTACAACCTCTTGAAGAGAAGAGTTGGAATGTAACTTTCGCTTCCTGCTCACCCCGAGTTCCTTCCTTCTCCCCTCCTCCCTTTTTTTTTTAATGGCAGCTCTTAAAACGGGCAAAGGAATGTTGGATGACATGAGGTCCTTCCTAAGGAAGGGGGGGGGGGCAGACCATTCCCGCCTGGGGAAGGGGTTTCCCCCCCCTCCACCTCTTGAGATTTCGGCAGCCTTCATCCAAGTGTCCGTCAGTTCCGCAGGCTAAAGGGAGTCTCTCTCTCTCCTCCCTCTCCTCCTCGACAGGCGCGCCACCTACGCCTACAACACGGAGGCCCAGATTTACGCACCGGGCAGCGCCACGGCCTACTTCGAGCCGCAAGGAGGCAGCGCTCAGGTGAGCCCGGGGGCTTCCTCCTCCCCCACCGCCATCCCCTCCCATGGCATGGTGGGCCTCGCCCTGGACAGCACGGGCACCAGCCAGATCGTCACCAGCTCCGGCACCTATCTCATCCATGGCGGGTTGGAGAATGCCCGGCACACGTTGTCGCACACCTCCCGCTCCTCTCCGGCCACGGTAAGTCCCCATAGAAAGGGGGTCAAGCGGGCTGGGTCCCAACTGGACATGGGTGGGGAGCTGTGGAGTGGGCGCACCATCCCAGTTGCACGTTCTACAACTGGGGGGGGGACACACACCCTTTTCTCAAACTAGTTTACCGTTTAGCTCTTCCTCCCGAAGCGGGGATTAGCAACGACCCGTGGACTTCAATCCCCAGGATTTCTGGGAGTTGAAATCCACAGACTGTCAACTCATATAACCTATTTCTCGGGTTTTTTTAAAGTTGCCAACTGAAAGGGAGGAGAGAGCAGCGCGGCAGCTTGCAAACCGAAAGGGCATTCCATCAATGTTTTCCAAAGATAGTTTCTAGTTTTCTAGATAGTTTCAGCTTTGCTGGCTGGGGCATTCTAGGAGTTGAAGTCCTCCAGGCTTAAAGTTGCTAAGGTTGGAGACACCCCCCCCCCTGTTCTAGGCGACTAAAGTTTCTGCCGTGTAAAATCCTACCTGGAAAGTACAATAGTGACGGAGAGTCATCAGACTCTGGGCTATGGAGGTGTCCCATTGGAGGATATGAATTATGATCCACCCAGAGGGGTGGAGGGAAAACCAGGGTCAAGGGTGACAAAGAATGACGTGTCTCAGAGTCGGCTACACCCAGGCAGTCCCGGCATGTTAACTCGCAATAAATCCTTTTTTTAAAGTTTTGGAAGTTTGATGTCAACTCATGAAACATTTTGTATACACGTTTTATAGTTGTCAACACAAAGAGGGGGGGGGGAGTTTCAAAGAGCAGGCGGCAGTGTGGAATCGAAAGTACGTTCCATTCATATTTTCTTCAAAGACCGATTAGATGACCGAAGCTTCTGCGACAAAAAAAATCTAATTGGAGAGCATGATTGATGACTCTTGGCTATGGAGTTGTTTCATTGGATGGTACACCCAGAGGGACGGCGGAGGGGGGGAGGAAGTAGGATCAAGGGTGACTGAATTACGTATCTCAAAGTCAGCGACGTGCAAGTTAGTGCGGGACGTAGAACGTTAGCTTCAAATAAATCCTTCTTTAGTTTTGGGAGTCTGGCTCGAAGCTCATGATTTTTAAATGGTGGGGTAATTGCCGGAATCTTGACACAGACTGTAAAGCAGCCGTAGTTGCCCATCCCAGCTCCAGGGAGGATTGAACTGGGAGGGGTCTTGCTGCTCTCTCAGCTCGGTAGTTCTTTTGCAGGCGTTTCATGACCCAACTAGGTAACATCATCAGCGCGTTTGGTCATTATGAAACGTCGGCAAGAACACCGCCGTGCTCAAGAGAGGCATCCCGGACCCCTCGGCTAAACCAAAGGGGCGACACACAGCGCCGTGTGGGGAGAGCCCCCGTCTGTCGCACCGCCGAGAAAACAGCAGACATGTAGATAGCGAGCGAAATCCTTAGGACTCGTGGGGAATGTCCCCCGTTTGGAAGTCACTGAGGACTAGAAGCGTGGCCCTCTGTGCAAGAGGTGGCGAGCGGATGCCATCCTTTCTCTGCCCCGTATTCCCCACCCGCCCTGCCCTTTGCGTTCACTGCTGTGCCGTGTGGCTTCTTCCGCATGCCGTCCTACGCAGTTCCCCTTTCGTGTCTCTGCCAGACTAACCCTCTCCTGCCTTCCAAAGTTTTGCTTTGGCCTGTTTGGGGAGGGGAAGACCCGGAGATCATGGTGTCGGCGGAAGCTCAGCCCATGCCCCGTGCCTGATTTGCCTTTTTCTTCCCTTTCCACCCCCCACCCTCTTTCTCTTTCCGGCCGGCTTCCTTCGGGTAGCTCGAAATGGCCATTGAGAACCTCCAAAAAAACGAAGGCATTACGTCGCACAAAAGCACCCTGCTGAACAGCCATGTAAGTTTTGATTGTCCTCCCCCACCCTCCCTCCCTCCCTCCCTTCCTTCCTTCCTTCCTTCCCTCCTCCTCCTGTCTTGGTCCCCTGACATCCAGGGTTGGGGTGGGTGCAAACAGCTTGGTCATTTGCATACTTTGAGAGAGTTGTTGAGGATGCTCGAAGGTTTGTCTGTATCCTCAGGGTCATCTGAGTGGTGCAGATGGGGGGTGGATAATTCTTGGAACTGCCGAAAGGACTGTGTTGTAGTCTGGAGACAGATTGTGTCCACCCCAAGGATAAAACCCCCAGGCCAAACTGAGCATCGTGGTACATGCAGCACAATGCAGTGAGCCCTGTGCAGATCTGTGCATTGGGGAAACAAAACAGCTACTTCACAAGCGCACGGCACAACCTAGGAGGACAAATCCTTCAGGACTCGATTCAGCAATCCATCTGCATTTTAAAAGACAAAGGCCACTCTTTTGAAGACAACCAAGTCCACATTTTGGACAGAGAGGAACACTGGTTTGAAAGAGGGGACCAAGAGGCCATCGGTGTCCAAATTGAACAGCCCTCCTTCAACTGAGGAGGGAGGGGTACGACTTCATCTATCTCCAGTCTACAACAGAGTCCTTTCAGCAGTTCCAAGAAGGCTCCACACCTATTTGCACCACTCCGGTGGCCCTGAGGACACCTGAGATAAACCTCCAGGCGGCCTCAACGTCTCTCTAAAACAGGGGACTTCAAACTCGAGAGCATTAAGGCTCGTGGACTTCAACTCCCAGGATTCTTCCACCAGTCATGTGAGCTCAGGAATTCTGGGAGTTGAAGTCCACAAGTCTGAAAAGTTTGAAGAGCCTTGCTCTAAAAGGATGCAAATGACCTGCTTTGTCTGCAAGGACTATCAATCCTTCCCTTTCCCCCCAGTCAGAGCTGAAGAAGCTTTTTCAAGGGGAAGCGAAATGTCTTCAGAAGAAAAAAAGCCAGAAAGTCCAGTTGCCTCCTTCGGGGGGGGGGAAGGGGGGGGGAAGCACCTTTGGGACTACCACGACCCGCATGATGGAGAATCTCCACCGACAAACATAGGAAAACCTTCCTCCTTGGACCTCCCCTTAACCCATAATCCCTCTAACCTTCTTTGTTTCGGGAACTTTCCGTCTGCCTTGGACTTCCACAGCCGGTGACCTTGAGGAGTTGGCTCTGTCTCAGGCTCCCAACCGCCTCCCAACCTCCCCTTCCGTTCCAATGCCTTCCCTCTCCCCTCCCACCTCGCCCCTTACTCTCCTACCCCACCTTCTCTAGGCCTCGGCGCCAAGCTGGAAAGAAGCCAAGGGGGTCAAACTCAAGGCCCGGGGCCCCGGATCGGACCTGTGGGGGGGGGGCTTAGATCTGGCCCGCGGGGGCCACCTTGGAAACAGCAAAGGACCAGCTCGCGGTGCTTCTGCCAGTGATAACGGAGTTCAGGAAGGCCACGCAAGCTCCGTTTCGGGCCACGACGGCCTCCCGCAGACCTCTGCCAGCGAAAACGGAGCTT